CTACTCCATTACATACATCATTATCAGCGATCTCTAGAGCTGTTGTAGGAGTTTGTGTTATTTTACCTTGCATATCAAGTATATTCCCAGCTGGTGTAGCTGGCGTTGTAGCAAGTGGCAATGTTTTAGCCGTAGCAACACTGAGCAATTGTGGACTTGGAAGAGACACGTCTGACACTGTTTCCGTATTTAGATTTGACTGTTGCTTTTTATCTGGATCAATACTACGTTGACTATTGCTACGTTGAATATTTGATGTCGGTTGTATTTTGGGTTGCTTTTTACGTTGCTTCTTGCTTTGTTCCATTGAAGCTGCCATCATTTGAAATTTTTTTATTAAACTAGAGTCACTACGATCTGCAGAAAATTGTGGCAAACGCATGAACAGCAAAATTACCATATCTTTAAGCGCTTGCTCTGCGGAACGACGCAGTAACTCATTTAACCGTGGTTCAAAGCAGATTTTAAAACAACTTAGCATAACTTCACATACAGCTTCATTAGTAAGAACAGATCCTTCTGGACTCCGCATTAATGTGTGAAGTACTTCAACAACACGAAACAAAGTAACGCCATCAGATGATTGATCAGTACCCATAAATCTGGCATGCGTAACAGCATCAACTATATTTTCAACAGTAGCCGCAAGACTTGGGGACGTTGGATCTAAACATTTTACAATTAATTATAATTTGCTCTAATAAAATTTTGAACATTTACCAAGTAATCCATATGATAGAAACTTATTAATGGATGCTAAAGCTAAGCTTGTAACTGCACCTGTTGTTTCATCAGTGCGTATAACTTCTAGGAACGGTGATAAATAAATATTAGGTTCAATCAATCGAAGATCTTCTACGCGATTAAGTACTTCCCTTAGTTCCATAAAAAGTTTCATAATACCATCTTTTTCATCGTCCTTTAAAAGGATATATATTAGTTGTTGTTGTTTATTAAATCATTCTTGTTTTTCTTACCAAATAAGCAGCTGAATTCCATCTAGATCCTCGACGCATAGCCGTTATTAACGTGGACATTTCTCCACGCACAACAAAAATTCCATTCCCTGGTAAAGACATATTAATGATGTGGACTTTTTCTATTTACCTATACGCCACACAGCTTGTTGGTGCAGCCCAATTATGTATTCTACTTTTCGAGAACTCTTTGTACTGATGGTTTTTATATCTTTTATGTTATTTACATATTGTTTCCAGACATTTCAACACAAAAATTTATTATTTATATCCAAAAAAATTGTATTTTTTATTTTATTTAGAGGAAATAGACAAATAAGTGATGACGTTTCTTAATTAAACTTATGACAGCTGATGATTATTTTCAAATAAGTGGCAATACTGCATTATTGGCAATATTTTGTCTTACAGGGTCTTCAGCATGTACAATTGTAATAAATCAGTTATTCATACAAAGAAGTGTTATGTACATGTTTATTTTTTAGATATTCGGTTATAACTATATCAGTAGTATAATATTCGGTTATTACTATATTAGTAGTATACAGAGTTGGGTAATTTCTGAATTTACAATATTATTGAGATAATGTATAATCAAAACAAGAGTATTATCAAGACATCATTTTTTTTAGCATTCGGTTAACATCAGCTAATTCTAATTATTGTAGTGTTGAACAAAATGGAAATAAAAATTGAAATTTTAAGCGTTTACACAATATAATAAATTAAGAAATATAATTAAGACAATTTTAATTAAAATTTATTTTACATAAATTATTAGTTCATTACTGTTCGAAAAAACCTCTTCATAAATTTTATATTATTTTAATAAGGAAAATTAACAAAATTCCGTACCTTTATTAACATAATAACATGAATAGAGAAGTTTCGAAAAGTAGTGAACTACATCAACAAAAATTCTTTTTATATTATTTTAAATAATAATTTTTTAATTGTGGTCTTGGAATTATTTCTTGTGTTTAATTATTCGTAAATAATTTTTGAGACTGCAAGTACCAAAGGTTGAACTCATGTAATATCATAACATATGTTTTTATAACACTATACATTATAAAAACATTATAATAGGACCCTGAAGACGACTATAGAATATAGTCAAAACATTAGTGTAATGAAAAATTATTTTTTTAAAACTATAATAATTGACCAATTAAACAGTTTCAAAACCAAATTTTAATTGTTGCAGTAAAATGCAAAATAATATTCTTTGATTTTGTTTTTGATATTGTGGAGATTATTTCCCTTGATGTAAATATATTTGACAAAATGGTTCGATGAGAGTTTAATTTGTTACTGTAATAGTTGCATAAAGAGTTTTATTATATTTATGTTCGCCTCAATTTGTTTAATTATATAATAACTTTTTACTTTGACTAACTTTATATAAAATTTAAATTAAGCATTATATCATATTAGATATTTTTCCTTTTTGATGCTGAAGATTTGGTCTTAATATTAATAAAAATCTAGTGAAATAAAACCGTTATATTTTATGAAAAAGAAACGATAAAATACCTAAGAATATGTTAGAATATTATATTAATTCATTGAATATTACCCTAACTAGTATGAAGGGTGTCATCCCGATGGCTATATTTCGAAGTCTGTTAATATTGGGCTTTGTCACATAAGCTGTCAAAGCAAGAGCACACACATATTGTCATATATGAGGGGTATTCCTTCTGTATTGCAAAGTCATCTGTTTTTGCAGCATATCACATTTCCCCGAAAAGCAACAGTTTTCAAAACAGCTGCTTTTTTTCTTTTTTTGTTTTGTTGCAATTGCAAGAAAATTTGTGCGCGTATTTTGTTGTTCTCCATTGTAAGCTCGCACAATATGTGCATTCCATGCACCATGCAATGAGTTGGCAAGACCAAGTGAATACACCTATAGCATTTTGTCAAATATATTTATCAATTTAATTCACGTCTTAGATATAAGATTATTAAATAAAGCTGAAATATTGTTCCTGGTACACTCTTAAATACATATATTCCAAACCAAAGTGTATAACTAAATTGAAATTCTATACATACCATAAGTAAATATAATTTTAATTTTATAATTATTGCTATTAAAATTTAAAAATTTTGTTACATATAAATATTTTTATGTCATTCAAACTAAATGAAAAAATATTTTCAATATAAAATATAAATGTATCAGGTAATTTGGTGAAAAAATGTTGAATTTATAACATAATAGCATTTATTTATGGCAACATTAATATAATTGTCATTCAATCGAAATTTGGTGACTTGTCAAATAATATAAGTATAAGTTTCATTGCACTTTTTTAAATTCTTTTTCGATAATATTGTAAGTTAAAGTATTTGATTTATTTTTTACTTATTCAATACTTGTGGTATACATATTTAGTAAAATATTTTATAAAAATAATTTATGTATAAAAGCCGAATATTGAATTAATGAAATTTTTCTGAACTCTCCTAAGTTATCATATTTTAACTCTCTAAATGTATATAATATTGCAAAATGATTTCAAATATAATATCTTTATGTGTATTTGCTGTCTTAACACCTAACTTAATTTATATGAAACACACTGTATACTGTATATTCACTCTGATGCATTGACTCATCGTGGATTTTTGTCTTCTATTGGTCACCCTTTACCATTTGTTTACGTTTAGTTAGACCAATTGTTATACCAATTTGATATAATCGTTAATGTCAAAGGCAATTTGGCCAAATACTATCGCCCACATATAAAACTTGTGTAAAATTATACATAAAGTGCAATACAGTAAAAGTTTTTGTGTTAAAAAATACAAAAACTCTACCTTCTTTGCAATTCGCAAAGTAAATAAAAAAATTATACAAATATTCGGTGTGTGCAATAAAATTTGAATAGATTTTTTATACAATATGGGAAACACGGACTCAAAATTGAATTTTCGCAAAGCAATTGTACAGCTCACACAAAAAAATCAAAAAATCGATGCAAGTGATGAACAATTCTGGGATCAGTTTTGGAATGGTCATCAGACATCGCTGGAAGATGTTTTCGTATTAGTCACTGCAGCTGAAATTAGAAATTTACGTACTGATAATCCAGCTAACCTAGCAACGCTTTGTTACAAAGCAGTAGAGAAATTAGCACTTGCAGTTGACAGCAGTTGTCGCACACAATCAGAGCAACAATGTGTGCTTAACTGTGTACGCTTGTTAATACGATTATTGCCATACATATTTGAAGATGATAAGTGGCATGATTTCTTTTGGAGCAGTTTGCCTGCTCAAGAATCCTCAAATCGACGTGATATTGAGCGGGACCAATTTTCAATTTCGGCTTCACAAAATGTGCCACTCGCGCAATCACTCTTAAATGCTATATGCGATTTATTATTCTGTCCAGATTTTACTGTAACTGCTGCGCGTCGAGCTGGCCCAGATAAAGTTGATGAGTTGGCAAATATAGATAGCTGCGAATATATATGGGAAGCTGGAGTTGGGTTTGCACAGTCACCACCGAAAATGGCGCATATGGAAAAACGGAGAACTGAATTATTAAAACTACTATTGACTTGTTTTTCTGAGCCTATGTACAGAACGCCGCAACAATCTGGTGAACCAAACAGATGGATAGCTTATTTCACTTCTGCTGATAATAGGCATGCTCTACCTTTATTTACTTCCTTTCTTAACACAGTTTGTGCTTATGATCCAGTTGGTTTTGGTGTACCATATAACCATCTTATATTTGTTGATACTACAGAGCCGTTGGTAGAGGCGTGCCTACAAATACTGATTGTCACACTTGATCATGATATGATTATACATCAACAACAACAATTAGAGTTACACCGTCAGTTGCAAGGTGGGGCTGGTGCTGCAGCTGTAGCACCTTATGACGATGGATTTGGTGATAACTTATTTATAAATTATTTATCTCGTGTGCATCGCGATGAAGATTTTCATTTTGTCTTAAAGGGTATAACGCGATTACTTAATAACCCCCTAGTCCAGAATTATTTACCGAATTCAACGAAAAGGCTGCATTGTCATCAAGAGCTGCTTATTTTATTCTGGAAGATTTGTGACTATAACAAGAAATTTTTATATTTTGTGTTGAAAAGTTCCGACGTTTTGGATATCTTAATACCAATTCTGTATCATTTAAATTATTCTCGAGCTGACCAATCGCGCGTCGGACTAATGCATATTGGTGTATTTATACTATTGTTACTTTCAGGTAAGATTTATACAATTTCCAAAACAACTGATATTTATTATTTAATTTAGGTGAACGAAATTTTGGTGTGCGCCTTAATAAACCATATACTGCTACCGTTCCTATGGATATACCAGTTTTTACTGGTACACATGCTGACTTATTGATCACGGTATTTCATAAAATAATTGCTACAGGCCATCAACGACTACAGCCCCTGTTTGACTGTCTTCTTACAATTCTGGTAAATGTGTCACCATATTTAAAAACACTCTCCATGGTAGCTAGTGTGAAACTTTTGCATTTACTCGAAGCATTCAGTACACCTTGGTTTTTGCTCTCAGCTCCTAGTAATCATCACTTGGTATTTTTCTTGCTTGAGATATTTAACAATATCATACAATATCAGTTTGATGGCAACTCAAATCTAGTTTATACTATCATAAGGAAACGTCACGTTTTTCACGCCATGGCAAATTTACCGTCTGATATGACGGGAATAGCTAAATGTCTAAGCGGTCGGAAAATAGGCAAATTTAATTTACCTCCAGTTGCGCAGCATAAAATGTCAACAATAACGAAGCATTTCCCATCACAAGTGCCTGAAGAGGATGATATTGAGGTTGAAGATGACGAACATGAGTCGGAAGCAGAAGAAAACGATAGAAAAAATGATAAACCAATTGATGGCACCCTTGCAGCATTGCCAGCTGAACCTGGTACCTTAAAAGCTTCTTTACTCGAAACACCTGATATAAATCAAATGACGGAACGTGAAAGGGCACATCCAGGTAGTACTGATTCAACCCCGACAGTAGATGGCACTTCCGATATTGTACAATATAAGAACAATAGTGAAAAATCACCATCAGAATCTCGTACATCAAGTCCCAATGGAAGCGTAGTCGCTAGCTCACCACATAGCAACAGAAAAAGTACTATACCAAAGGAAAATCAGTCACGTCTTTCAGTTTCGCATCGTGGTAGTATACGTATGGTGCCCGCTGGACAAGAACGTTGGACACCCACACCGGAATGGATCGTTTCTTGGCGTTCAAAATTACCATTACAAACTATAATGCGATTACTTCAGGTATTGGTGCCACAGGTAGAAAAAATTTGTATTGACAAAGGACTAACAGATGAATCAGAGATCTTAAAATTTTTACAACATGGTACGCTTGTTGGTCTTTTGCCAGTACCTCACCCAATTTTAATTAGAAAATATCAGGCGAATGCGGGAACAACGGCTTGGTTTCGAACTTATATATGGGGCGTAATATATTTAAGAAATGTAGAACCAGCAATTTGGTATGATACTGAAGTGAAACTTTTTGAGATTCAAAGGGTATAAATATTTATTTATTCGGGTTAGGTTAAATGTATTTATTATATTCATGAAGGCTATGATTCGAAATTATTTTTTGCATTTACTGCTTTAGTTCTTATTTTGTTTAATAAGCATTCCATTTTATGTCTTTAACAGACAATTTCGCAGTGATAATTTCTGTTTCGAAAGTAAAATTAAGAGCTTAGAATATTTAGTTAGTTTGTAAAAATGAAGGTAAAAAAATATAATGGAAATAGCAAGGTCAGGTAGTCACATCTAGTCTAGTGCGAAAATTTAAATATAAGAAGTAATTTTATTTAGCTAAAAATATCTTCTTTTATTACGAAATTCGTACATAATCAACACTAATAGTTATGACCTCCAGGAATGAAATAAAATAATTTACTTCATACATTTTTATGCATCTGACTACTAAGTTTTGGGTTGGAGTCCTTACTAGGAAACTGAGATTGAACTTATCATTATTATAACTATACTGTATAAATATTTTTAATATGCAGCGATTATTTTCTTCTATAAATTTAAACTATAATTAAGAAATTTAATTTTGAAAGTATGTTGTGTTATTGTGTATTGTATTTATATATACCATATTGTTTTGCTTCAGTAGCATATATTTTACATATTTTATCAAATCAAATATTTGTCTAAATATATATAGTAATAATTGTATATAATTGAATGAGATTAATGACAACAACCCTGGATTTTCACTTCTCCATACTCCTCGAAAATGATTACTTAATTTTTTGTTTGGCTAATAAATTTAATAAATAAAATATTCTGTTTCAAAATGGCATAAATGATGGAAATGTAACTTAATCCAAGAAATGATAAGAATCAGTTAGAGGTTGTGTGGGTCTATCTTTAATACATAGATAAAAACAGGATGTTAAAGGAAATTCTATTTGAGAATAACAATCATATAGGGTTAAATATTTTACAAATGGCTCATGTAAATATCCTAAAGCATTACAAATTTTTAGTTCATCAAGTCCAAAAAATATTTACAAATTTTTTTTTTAGTTTATCGTATATCAAAGCGTAATTATCTTATCAAAATATTTTGTTAACCAATTTTGTATCTATTGCTAACGCTCGCCTGTGATTGAGTTCTGAATTGCACTAGATACTGTTTTCTTTTTACCTCCAAGGGCATATGAGTAACAATATTTTATTGTGTTGTTTTGTTAAAAAACTGAAATCATTAAATTCTTTTTGAAATATTTATAAATGTTAGTTATTCTTTAACTTTTGTTGATTGCACACTTATTTTGATATATACACATATGAGCTAAGTTAAACACTAACTGCTTGAATAAAGGGAGTGAAGAAGTTTAATTTATCATTGATATATCGGTGATATTAATTTATTTACGGATATTTTTAAAGGTCATGAAGTCACCTCTCACATTTATGTCGTTTGAATATCGATATACAAAACATAATTTCAAATAAAATAAAGTCTGTTAATTTAAATATTACTATTGCTTTGTTTTAGGATTTTTTAATTAAGAAATAAATACAATTTTTTATTTATTGTTTTTAATTTAACAATATTTCCACCGCAGTCTATACTCATGTTTCAGATAAAATAAAATAAAAAATTAATAAAAATGTGTTTATTTCTTAAATAAAAAAAATTTGGTTTTAAGTTCAAAAAAATATAGAAATAGATAATCTCAAGGATACATAAAATTTTTCAATTTCTATTCGATACTCTGTTTTAATATTAATACTAATAATTATTGTATAATATATTATCGAACTTTAATAACATTACAAAATAGTGATTTAAAGTAAATAAGTACTGACTGTTGACGAGAAAATTATATTATTTGAAATATCAAATCAAATCAGTGAAAATCCAGGTTGCTATATATACATATTTATTGTATAAACAATGAAAAGATAATCGAAAAAATACTTAAAATTATTGTAATGTTTACATTTTTTGTGCTTTTATATTTATTAATTAAATTATTGTTTTAGTTATTTTAAATATTGTTATGAATAGTTCAAATCTTATTTTAAATTAATGTCACCTATAAGAAAATGTTTACTATAAACAAACTAATTTATTTAAATAAAATATTTAGAGTCACATTCAACACAATAGAATCGACTCATAATTTATATTGTGTAATAAACTATATACATATGTTAACCTATATAAATGTATGAATTATACGAAGAATATTTATTAAACATAAAAAATATTCATATTACTATAACGTATTTATGGCTTTTTATTGAAGAAGGGAGATTAAATAACATAACTTGTGAAAAATGTAGAATCTGTGTTAATTTTTGTAATTATTTTAAGAACATAATTAAAGTCACATGAAAGCTATCGTGTCCTTAGTACAAATAGAAATAATACGTAAGCATTCGTCTACGACATCCAAGTACCACTCACAGCCATTAAACCATTAAACTGTTAGTTAATATTCAATTGTTTGAATTATTGCTAAGTCCGATTTTAGTATAGGAATATATTTTACACTCGTCTGCAAAGATTTTTTAGTGTACACCTATCACTGTTAATAATATTTCTGAAAACTTTAATTTATTTTATTTCTCCTATTATAATTTATGTATTTATTTTATTATATTTATACATTTTATTTTATGTATTTATTTATTTCATTGAAATATTTTATTTAAATATTTTATTTATTTATTTTATTTCAAATAATAAAAATTAAAATTAAAAAATTATTTACGAATAATTAAATACAAGTATTATTTCCAAGACCACTGATGATATATATTTGGCAATAGTGGAAACAACTGTATGGTCAGCCAAAAATTCAATTAACTTAAATAATATAAAAGAATTTTTGTTGTTGTAGTTCACTACTTTTCGAAAAAACCTCTTTATTTTATTTTATTGTATTTCATTTTATTTCATTAAATAAATTATTTTATATTTTATTTATTCACTTTTTTTTATTTATAAAATATTTTTATAATAATAAGTTAGGCTTTCTGCAGAAGACAATTTTGTGCAGACAAATTTTTTTACGGTAGGTGGAATGCATCAAAAGTTTCCGAGCAGGCTGGAAATCTCATTTTAGAATACAGGGAAAGAAATTAATTAGCCATAAAGAGACATTGTTTACGGGTTTAGAGGCGGGTAATTGTAAATGAAGGTAGAACACCTAGGTTAAATGGATTATTTAAGAGTTAGCTCTATGTGGGGGGTTACTGTAATCACGATTATACAACGATTATTATAGAGGAAGGGCTAGGAATTTGGGAGGCTTGTGCCTCATAAAGAGTGGTAGATCAGTGAAAATTTAGTTAATCAAAGTTTCAATTTTTGTTAATAAAAATTTCGATTTTACATAATAAAAATTTCGATTTTCATTGACAAAACTTTCGATTTTCAGTTAATTTGAGTTTTTGAGATTTTCAATTAAATTGAGACATAAACGATCCATTGTTTCTTCTTTTAGCATTTTTAATAATAAAAATTGTACTGCAGTGCAAGCATCACGACGTCGTAAAATTAAAATATGTAAAATGATATCAGTAAAAAATAAATATTTTTTTATAATAGAAAAACTATATATATTAATATAATAGGACGGTGTATTTTCAAAATATATAGAAATGTAATTACGATGGTAAGTCTTACGATTTAAATTTTACTCGAAACAATTTCTTTAAAAGTTTTATTATAAGTATTATATGTATATTATGAAGACATTTTATATAGGTATATTATTATACATGTTATTTTTTATATATAGTAATTACCTTTTACACTTTCATAAAAGTATAAAATTGTGGAACCTAATTGTAAATATAAGCGTTTTTTTCTAGGAATCACCAGAGGGCGTCATACTCACTCTGCAAATGGTCCAAACATATGATTTTAGAAAATTTGCAAATAATTTATTTTTGAAAAAAAAAATTGTAAAAAAATTGTTGAATTATTATCAATATGAGTAGAATTCTTTTGAATGGACTATTCAAATTAGCTACATTGCATAAGTTTGGATTTCAAAATATTGTTGACGCTAAAATAGTTGAGAAACGAAATTTCATACTTTGTGTGTGCCTTCAGGAGCAGAAAATCAACAAAGACGCCACAAACAATGCAAATCCAACGAAGAAAGCAAAGAGTGCGCCTAAAATAACTTTAATGGGCCCAAATGATTCTATATCAGTGACTACATTGGGGGAAGCACAAAAATTAGCAAAACGACGTGACTTACATATAATGCAGTTAGAGAAATTTGATTCAAAAACACAAAGACCAATCTACAAGTAAGTACATTCTGGTTAGATAAAGGACATAGTCCAGCGACTACAGAATCATTAGAAATGTATATTTTAAATATTTTATTTAAATTATATTTAGACTAGTAACGTCTGCGGAAATGCTTAAGAATGAAATGAGTGACTTGAACGCACACAAAATATCCACTGATAAAAAGTAAGTTATATGTTTTAATTTTTAATATAGGAAAATTTATAGAACATTTCTTTACTACTTATAGTTTATCGAAAAAGTCTGAAAAATCTCTAACCATTGGCTCACGCATTAGTGAACATGACTTAGGGTCACGTCTGAAAAATATTAGCAAGTGGTTGGCTAAACAACATGAAGTACGAGTTCTTATACAAGGCAATGCGAATGAAAATCAAAATTCGGAAAAAATATTTAAAAGCATATCAGAATCCATTACTAATCCAGACGTAATCGGTAAAATTGTACAGAAGCATACAAAGGGATCAGTTACGAAATTTAGCATAATACCTCAGGCGGCAGTAACTCAGCCACCAGTATCTCAGTCATCGATTACAGATGAGAAGTCGTGACTAGATATGCAAAAGTCTTTGAGTCAAAGGATGTGTTCACGGAATATTTATACATATGCTAATTTACTTACAAATCGGTTACCACAAAGATACTTTTCAAGCGAAAATGTCAAGGAAACTAATAATATAATAAAATATTTTGGTAGTTTTACATTAATCAGTTTGATTGTGCTTAAATATGTGTTTTGGTTTAAGTATTTTAAAATGAAATCATCTACTAAGTAATTTGTGACTTAACTTCTTGGTAATGGATATATGTGTATGTGTAATTCCGAATATAGATTTCTTTCTGAATACAAATGTTAATTAGTTAATCGTTATATTGTAACAAAATGCATTAAATTTTCATTTAACTTTACTTTTTAATATATTTTATAAAATGAAATGAGCATATTTACATACATACAATAATGCTTCCATAAAAAAATTTGTTATTTTTTATATGAAATAAAAAAAACTACTGCTTTTAAATTGCTAAAGTTAATTATATATATATTACTAAAATAAAATTTAGTTATTATATGTATTCTAATATATTAATTTAATAATCAAAAGTATTAAATTATTAATTAAAAACTTAAGTGAACTTACGCTTAGAGATTGAAATCGATTTATTCATATTGAATATCTAAAAAAATTTTCAATTTATCCAAAGAGTCAGTAACCGAATACACAAGTTCACTCTTAAATTAATTAAGCTTAAAAACTGACTGACTGACTCTGAAAGTAAGAAATTACTGTTTATATCAATAACTAGCAGAAAACTCTGCCAAATCAATTATTAGAAAATAATTATTCGGTTGACTCTAACGCCGTTCTATAACCAAGTATTTCGGTACTCACACAATTTTTTTCATTAACTTTACACTTGCTATAGTTTTACAGTTGATTTTGTGTTAGTATTTCGGTGGTTTTTATATTTGTTGTACAATATTGTGAATCAAGGTTTACCGAGAAGATTTACCGAGAATGATTTGCAGTTGATATTTCTTTATATTATAATCATGATCGATTTCATGTAGTTGCTGTAACCCGCTGGGATCCAAAAGCAGGTAGCATGTCGATTTCATCATTGTCGTCAATGATGTCTTTACAATTAATTGGCCGGTCTTTCACTATTTGTTTAAAATCATAAATTTCGGCTTCATAACTCGTAACCATAACTGCTTTCTCCTATTCTCGTGAAGCTTGTTATACTCTCAGTGTGAGCATAAAAACAAAGGTTGCTTAGAGTGATTTCGCAGATGAATTTTTTTGAAATATGAGAATAAATAAAGTTATAGAAGAATAGTATCTATATTTTGATGCGGAGGTTTACCGGCGATATCTGAAGAGTATATTAACCGTTATCATGAGTTGACTGTGGGCTCATACTGTTATTTATGCAACAAAGTATGTTATATATGCATTTTAAATTATGAGAAGAAAAATTCCTGCTATCAAAATGGGTTAACCTGCTAATTTTGACCATAGATGGAAAGAGCACTTTGACTTCCAGAATTGGAATATCGTTATTGTCCAGTGATTGTATGTAGACATACTAAATTAGTTCCGAAAATTCAATCCGGTTTTTATAGCACCTTTTGCACAATTGAGTTAATACTTAAGATTAAAATTTTTGATTGCTTTTGGGACATTTGAAAATATAGTATTACCAATAAATGCACAAATACTTTATTTGTTTTTTGCTTTTTATCTTTTTTCTAGTACATGTAAACCAATTTTCAAATTGCAGAACTCATCTCTTTTGGTTTTAATCGAAATTTAATTTATTAAAATTATTTTTTTTAAAAGTATAGTTGATAAATGGCAAAACAAACTAGAACGTCAAATATTAAAACAAACCCATACTTGCTCTTTGAGTCCATGTTTGAAACCAACATTTATTCTAGTGTTTTCAAAATACACTAAAGATAGAAGAGTGTGCATAAATATATTTAATCATTTTATAATTATAATAATCTCTAGGTTATGATGAAAGGTATTACGTACTTTATGTATTTATACATAAATATATATAATTTTAGTTGAAATCTATATATTGCAATATTAATATGAGGTGGGCTGTATTGGTACTAGAACCCTACTTAAGTGATCACTGAAATACTGTGCTTTATAATTATATTTTTTTTCCAAATTAGTTCTAATAAAAAGAAAATTTAAAGTCAAGAAATTAATGACAACATTAGATTATGATGTAGTTTTAAATATTTTGTCTTGTTTTTCTGCCAATTATATTAGATAACAATTCTGATTCTAAAATTAATAATTACTCCATTTTGAGACATACAACGCTTTTCTTGAGAAGTGGAGTGTAGATCTGGTCGTTCCTGAAACTAATTGTAGTAAATTGTGCTCTTTTTGAATGATTATAAAGTCCATCTTTTTTGCCCTAGATTTATAAGTAATAACAACTGATATATATGAGTTGTTTTTATTATTAGAACCAGTTTTAAAAATAAGAATAATAACAAAACATATTATTTTAGTGATCACTTAAGAAACGTGTCAGTACCAGATAAGCGCACCTCATATTTATATTGCAATATAAAGATTTCAACTAAAATTACACATATATAAATATATATATATATATATATATATATTAAAGGAGTTGTTATTACTTATGAAATAGATTAGGCAAAAAATATGGATTTTATGGTCATTCAAAAATATATTTATATATATATATTTAGTAATATGTATATTTATATATATTAGTACCAGCACAATAACCTTGATTAAATCAAAAGATTGCATATATTTAATTTATATGAATTTAAAAAATATTTTTTATATAATATAAAAGAATTAATAAATAAGTATAAGCGAATACAATGAAAAATGAAAATATTAACTAAATCAAATTTAAATAGACATCAGTTAATACTACAATGGAGACCTATATTATATATATATGTATATATAAATATATATATATATATATATTACTATATGTAAGCATAAATATACAAACATCAGTAATTTTTATATGCTTTGTTGTGATGATTTGGCACCATTAAACAATTTCGCGACTGTTTCAATCTTAGTACCGATTTATATACACTATTAATTGGTTCCCAACAATTGCGTTCACATAACTCTAATGATGTGAATTTATTTTCATTGAAATCACATTCATCTGTGGTGTACAACATGCACGTATTCTCACAAAAATTGAAGAACCAAAAATTTTTTACTGAGTGAGACGACGCACACGGAGAATTAATCAATGGTTTAAAACATCGATTAAAATTTCTGTTTAGTTGAAGGGGTTTTAGAAATGATTTCGGACTACCTTTATAAAGATTAGCTACTTCAAAGCCTTTCTCATTTTTCCATTTTTCTTTTTCTTCGCTGACTTCATTGTTGGGTTTTGAACGAAGTTTACTGTATTCATAAGGAGCGTAATCTCTGCCATAATCTTCTTCGTCATACCATTCGTCCTTTGTTTGAGTAGCATTCAATTGAGAATTTTCTTCAGAATAGTCATAACTATTATAATTCAACTTATTATTTGTTTGTTGTCTTTCGTCACAATCTCTACCAAAGCATTTCTTTTGTTGAGACAATGGAGAATAATGCATATTCTAGGAATCAAAATTGAATGCAAAATAACTATAAGAAATACTTTAAAAATTTTTACCTGACATTTTGTTTTAATCATTGGATTAGTATATTGCCTATAACTTGTCATAACGCCTTCGCCACATGTTTTACTGCATGGTGA